CACTGTTCACGAGCCGATTTCAAACACGAGCCGATTTCGAACACGAGCTATTTCGAACGAGCCGAACACAAGCCAAGCCTGAGCTCGCTCAAGCTCAGCTCGTTTACAGCCCTACCTCCGTCAACCTCTTCAGCATTTTCCTGCGGTTTTTCAGCCACTCCCAATACCTGTTCGACTGCTACCTCCCGTCTCGAGCGCCTCCCTTCTCGAGCGCCTCTCGGTGGCTATTGACTTCTCGTGGCAACTCTAGTCGGCCGCTAACCATCCTCAGGCCACCTAGCCTCCTGCACTTGCTGTTTTCTCCTACCTCCTTTTCTACAGTCCAGTGGCGCCTGCATCTTCTCTCAAGGTCACATGCAGCCATTCACACCTACTGCCTCGCCGACACCGCAACCCCTGCTGCCCTACACCTTCTAGCAGCCACCTGCACCTGCTGGCCCCTCCGCCTACAGTCAGCTACCACAACCATCTCACTGCCGACGTCCACATATATCTTCCTCCTGCCGTAGCCATGTAGTGCTGGTCTTGTCTTTATTGTCTTGTTTTCTTTATTATTTTGAGTTTTGATTGTATCCTTCATTATCAACCTAATGATATTTATTTTCTGACTTTATGGGTTGAGTTAACTCCGGTATCAATGACAGGAAGGAGATGGTTGAAAGCCTTATTATAAAGGGAGGAAGAAGAAGATGAAACCTTAATACATGGACCTAAGTTGTGAGGGCCACATGCACAAACCTTGCTGACGATCTATGTACACAATTTTGTTCTTAGAAGAAGCACAAAACCACTGAAGCAAACAATTTTAAATACATGAAGGATGCCAAATATTAAGCATGCGAGCTATCTTCATTTATATTCATCAATCATATTACAAGATATCTAGCTCTACTTTATGCTGCGAAGCCTACTAACCCAAGTAACGAAAACCAAGTCCAAAATATTATAAAACCTTTTAAGATAACATGTGAAAGAAAATAAAGATAGGGGCATTTACATGCATGCCACCCAAGTCCTATGTATTCACATATGTAACATCTAAACTTTAGTTTTTACATTTATTCACGTAAAAAATACCACCATTTTAACTTTTAAAAAGTGAAATACAGGTTTTTGTGTATTGGTAAGTGGTATGTATGTAAAATTTGAAGTTTAGATGTTAGATATGTAACTCTTCCATAAAGATAAATGATTTCCATGAAGTAAAGCTATTGCAATGTTGGATATCAAGCGTGTGTCCTCTAAGCCTATGATGATACAATGTCAAGTATTCTTTAATGTACAGGATTATGGTAATAATTACTGTGTTGCGTCATGTTTTATTGGTAATATTTTGCTTTTGTTTATGATGCAGTTTTATAGAAATGAGCAAAAAGTGCTTTTCAAGGATAGGTGATATTTATTTCTAATTTATGTATGGTTTCCTTCATCCTAAGTTTGAATTTTGACCCTCATACTGGAGTTAACTTGAAAGACAATCAAACTTGACCATTATTGTTGAAAATTCAATAGAGTCCACAACAAATGTTCATAAAACTGAAATAAATCAACATTAAACACAAACGAGCCTCTAGGGCGAGGGTGAAGGTGATGAACATTGGCTGGACAGCAGGTGAGGGGATGGTTTGGGAGATGGTGGCGGCAGGTAAGGGTGCGGAAAGGGGTGGCAGCAACAGGTAGTTTGTGATTATGGTGGCTGAAGTGGATGGGGGCAGTTTGGAAGGTTGGCGGCAGCATGGAAGGGTGCAGGGATGTTTGGCGGAGACAGATCTGGTGCTGGAAGGTTTTGCAGCAGCAGGGAACGTAATAGTGGGGACCTGGAGGCAAGTTGGTAGGGTGCTGACCGGGCCTCGACTGCAGGAATCAGGAAGGTGGCAGGCGCAGGGGAGAGGGCAGTGAGCTGGGAGTGAGATATGGAGAGGGATTGAGAAGATAATCACCACTTCAAAGCAGGATACAACCGGCGCACCACCTATCCTTAGATACAACCCTAACAAAGGCGGAATGACTTGAAATCTGAAATCGTAAAAAGCAAAAACTAAATCCTAAACAACAAGAAACATATTTATAATAAGATAATTAGGAGGAGGGGGGAGGGGTGGCAGTTCCGCGCACTAGTAGAACCGGCCGGTCCAACCTCACTGTTGGACCGACGCTTCCTTGCTGAACTGGTTGGGCGGGTTCCGTCCTAGCCCCAGGGTCAGTTCCTCGCTACTTTTGCAGTGCTCCTCCGTGGCTTTAGTCAGACTCAGTAAGAAACAATCACTTCAGAATGGATATTAGTTCTAGTATTTCTATGTTTTCTATGAAGGAAAATTTACATATATACCGCACAATTCTTTTGTATTTACATACCTAACACCTGCAATTTTTATATTTAAATTCATTGCACTTTGATGCTATAAACATATGCATCAAAATTTGTAATTCTTTTCAAAAAAGTAAGCGATAATGGTATTTCGACGTGATGCTAAAGATTTGGATGCTGTTTATGTAAATATAGAAGTTTAAATGTTAGATGTGTAAATACATAAGAACTGTGTGGTATATATATATAAATTTATGTGATTCAAGTGTTTTGGAATTTATTCTTAAAAGTTTTTCAACTCGCTGAATTGATTGCTAAAGTTCTCTTTTTCCAAAGTTTAGTTAATGATCACAAATAGCATTTTTTTGATGCATGCTTATGTAATGGGACTCAATATACTTCACTTGATTTCTGCTTGAAAGTTGTTATATCATGAATTGTTCTTTGCCTATCATAATCCTAACCATTATATGATAATATAAATGTGAAGTTCTTATTTCACTCATTTCTTCAATTCCATTATGTTAGCCATCAATTTCCATGCTTATTTGTATTTCTATCTTCATATTTCTTTCAATTCAGCTTGTATTTTGATTTCAATTTTTGGCGACCAAGTTCAGTGAATTCGTCTGTTAAATGATTTGTTTGAGCTTGAGGAAAGTTTTGAACTGCTTGGGATGTATATGCTGCGTTAATGAGACCAGAATTTATTCTCTAATTATCATCTTGAGTCTTTTACATACTGAAGTAAGCTAAAGTCATGGCCTTCTCTTTTTCATTTCCAGGAAATAGGTGCAACTTTGTGCTTCCGTGGCCAAAGGGTATTTTTGCACAATGCAGGAGGCTATTTTGGAGATGCTTCCATTGAAGCCTCTGGTGATTTCGGCTTAAATCCCGAATTTGGGGAATTTCATTTGATGTGTCAGGTAAAGTTTTCATGTTTTTTTGGCTATCTTATACTGGAAACTCAGTAGAATGAAAGGATCGTTAGGATCCAGATGGCTTAGGGCTCATATGGTCAGGTTTTTTTATAGCTTTTCTTTTTAGAGAGATGCACAATTTTGTTTGGCTATGAATTTCTTGTTGCTTTTATTAAAATTTTGTGGTATGAAATTACTTTTTACAATTAGACATGCTAAACTGTCGTAGTTGTAGAAAAGATACTATCTAATTTATTTTAGAAAAATTAAATTATAGTGTCCATAATAATTTTTAAAAATAATTTCTGCAGATCAACTCTATGCTAACTTTTACAAAGCGCTACCACTCTTTCAAACAAACTCTTAGTATGTTGTACCTTCTGATACTTGCCATATGATGAGATTCTAGCACTATGAAATGGAAGAAATAAACTTTTAAGGCCATTATGCATTGAACATTACCATTTCTTCTCTGGCCATGAAGCACGCGATGTACTTTGGAATCCTCGCCCCCCATCTCTCTCACTCGCCATCCCAAAATTCATCATTTACTTCAATTTTTATGATGTTATCATTCTTTATTTTATTTGTTGATTTTTTTCATATCACTTGCATGATTGTTCTTTAGTGGTGTTATTTCAGGAAAAACTACCAAAAAAAATATATTATGATTTTTTTTATTTTGTGTTATTTCTTATTTATTTCATGTTATTTCCTATTATGTATTTTATTTTATTTCCAGCTAATTATAGAAGTATTTGTTTTAGTATATTTGATTTGATTCTTGTAATCTTGGAGAAATGAGTATTATTTCTTTCCTAGGTTAAGCCAACATTTCATATCAATAAAAGCATTCTACTCAACTCTCCAAACCTATATGGTATTAGAGCTACATTCCGATCCTGGGACCCCGCACCTGTGCCCCGACATGTAGCTAACTTGATCCCCGCTCAGTTAAATGTATCTTCCTTGGCTATTCTGCCACTCAAAAAGACTATCAGTGTTTTGATCCTACCACCAACAAAACTTACGCTAGTGTTCACGTTTTTTTTTAAAATGTTCTTTTCTTCCCTAACTTTGCCTCAAGTGAGGGGGAGCTTGATTTTTTGGTCACTGTTCCTTTTCCGACTCTGGTGGACATTTCTCCTACTTTTATGGCCACTGTTCCCGGTGCAAATTCGACACCGTTGGATTCAACACCTTTCGAGCCAACCACACTACCCCTTCTCTCTGTGTCTTTACTTGCCGTACAAAACCATCGATTGAGACTTGTCCCAATGCCCCTACCATCGAGCCCGCTTCCCCGCTGCAGGTCTTGGAGTTCGCTCTGGCTAACAAACCTGGTACGATGCTCTCCCACCTATGGGGGTTACCTTTGATCTTAGTGAACATTTGGATCTTTTTATTGAGATACAAAAATAGTTACTTTCACATAGTCTTCAACCCTTTTATCCCATGGCAAAATACGTCTTGTTCCTTCTTAGTCCTACAAAGCATTTGTAACATCCTTGACTGATCATTATCTCCTACCACTATTGAGGCGCATTAGCTGACCTGTCCTGAAAGGCTGCTGCCATGGATGGGATGAATGACCTTCAACGCAACCATACTTGAGACGTGATTGATCTCCCCCGGGAAAGCATAAGGTGGGTTGTCGGCTTGTCTGTAGATTTTCAAAACCAAATTTAACTTTGACGGCTCCTTTGAATGCAACAAGGCGAAGTTGGTTGCTACAGGATATTGATAAACTTATGAGGTTGACTATGAAGAGACGTTTGCTCCGGTTGCTAAATTAAATACAATTCGGGTCCTCTTATCCTTACTTGTGAATTTGGATTGGGCCTTGCTTCAGTTGGACACCAAGAATGTTTTTTTAACAACGATCTTACTGAGAAGGTTTAAATGTCTCTCACACGGGGATTTGACCCGACTTTTTCCCCGTAGACAAGTGTGTTGATTGAGGAAGTTCTTCTATGGGCTGAAACAATCTCCAAGAATCTGGTTTGACAAGCTTAAGCAAGTTCTAGTGGGTTATGGTTTGTCTTAGGCCCAATCTGATCAGATGCTTTTTTTTGCCATCGGTCCAGTCACTTTATTGCCATTCTCATCGTCCATTTCGGTGCCATTGTGCTCATGAGCAACGATTTGCTGGCCTTGGAGACTCTCAAGGACATCCTCACCGCTTATTTTGAGATGAAAGACTTTAATTCTCTCTTGATTTCTTACTAATGGAAGTAGCTCAGTCCTCTCGAAGCATTTACCTTTCCCAACACAATGTGATGAGTTTATTGTCTGAGACTATTCTACTTATTTGCAAACCGGTAGCTGTCCCGAGGAATCCTAATGAGAAATTGTTTGAAGTTCCTAATACAATTTCGGTGAAAAAAAACACGCTATCAACACCTCGCGGGTAAGCTCATTTACCTAGCCCATATGCTCCCAGACATTTTTCACGCCGATAGTGTCCTAAGTCAGTTTATGCTTGATCCTTAGGAGTGCCCTCTCACTACTGTCCATCGGATCCTCTACTGTCTAAAAGGCACACCGTGCTTGGGTTTTTTGTTCATTCATCACTCCCGCTCGATTGCGGTTTATACGGATGCTGATTGGGCCGAGTCCGTCCATGATCGAGGATCCACCTTGGGCTATTGTTCCTTCGTGTGGGGAAACCTTGTTACTTGGAAAAGCAAAAAACAAAAAAGTTCGTTGTTGCCTGTAATAGTGCTGATGCCAAGTTTCGCTCTGTCTTTCGGTGTGTGAAGCCCGCTAGATGCTCATCATGCTCCGTGAGTTATGTTTGCCGCTCACCATTTCTCTATTGCTTTTCTGTGAAAATAAAACCATCATTAACATTGCTTATAATCTGGTCCAACATGAACGCACCAAACATGTGGAGCTTGATTGTCACATTATCATGAAGAAACTCGATTTTTGGGGGATTTGTGTTCCGGTTGCCCCATCCGCTGGTCAACTGACTGATATTCTCACAATGAATCATTCTCGCCCCTTGTTTGATGATTTCAAGTTCAAGTTGAACATGATTGCCATCTATGCTTCAACTTGAGGGGAAGTGTTAGAAGTTATATTAGGATTGTTATATTAGGATTTTTTATATTTTCTATTTATTTTTTGTTATTTCTAATTTATGTTTTTCCTTTTATTTCCGGCTAATTATAGGAGTTTTTGTTGTACTTTATTTGATTTTATTCTTGTAATCTTGGAGATATGGGTGTTATTTCTTTCCTAAGTTAGTATTCTAGTAAGCTTTATTTTAGCCAGCATTTCATATCAATAAAAGTATTTTGCTCAATCGCCAAACCTACATGAATATAATTGATAATTGCTTAATTACTAGACCTGAAATGATTATTAAATCAAGATATGGTTTTTGATTTTTATTCAACAATTTGATCCTAGTTCATAAATGTTTAAGGTAATTTGATTACAGTGATCATCAATAAAATTTTCTGATGGGTATGAGCAAACTGCAATTCGTTGGGATTACCCAATTTTAAAACAATGTGGTGAAAGCAATCTCTCAGTATGAATCAAAGAAATTTCATAGAAGGAATAGACTTAGATTAATATAATATGTCCAAGCTGGTAGTTGGGAGACAAGTTATGTGGAAACAACTCCTAGTAAGGAATTAGTAGGATGGTGTAGGAATTAGTAGGTTGGCATTAACAAAAAGGACCAGATAATGATTACCTTATGGAATCAAATATATGGATTGTTAGCTAGTTAGCATGGTGATGCAGGGTGGCGGCGTAGCGGTGGTTACGAGAAGAGGATAATTAGATGAAGAGGTGGTGTTTTCGAATTGCAACACCAAGGAAGGAGATCTATTGGTCTTATTCTTTTGAGGTTCTAGTTAGTGCATAAAAGTGTACTTCATGCGTGGCATGATATGATGAGTAGCGACTATGCTCCGTTTTGTGTTGTAGTCGCGTAGCTACTGTGCGTGAAGTGCGCGAATTTTGATTTCAATGGGTTGGATTTCAATGTCAAAGCGCTCCCTACCCTGTTTAGTTGGTTTAGTAAGAGCAAATAAAATCAAATCACCTTGGTTTCAACATGATTTTGAGCGCAAGTAGATAGATGATACATGATTTTGGCACGCAAAGGAGAAACGATGCATATGCAACTGGGTGTTTGATGCAGTAATTGGGCCTTCGATTCGACCTACGTGAAGAAGCAGACTAGGCGGTGGAGTCTAGTAATTTCTCTCACTCTCAATCGACGGTCTCGCACCTTGCTGACCGATCTCCAATGACTTGGATGGGGGGGAGACCTAGCGATTCTCACGAGCTCGCCGCAACGTATATCTAAGGACAAGCCTAGAGACACAAGATTAATTGAACAAGACAAAGCCATTAGTTAAACAATGAGCCCAATGACTTGGATGGTAAGTTGGATGCAACAGGTGATAAGATAGGCAAATCTAAATGTTTTGGAGGGATCATAAAGCGGCGTTAATATGAATATACCCGAAAATTTAAAAGGAATTAGTATCCATAAGGTGTCCTGAAAATACCAGTCAAGTCTATGACTATGCATGCGTACATTTATCTTTTCCAAATCGTTGCATTTTTTGGAGCATAATGCATCAAATATGCTCTAAATCATTGTTTGTTCTATTATTGTTCACATTTTCTATATTCCAATTTAATGTTTTTGGTGTGGAATTTTTTGGCCTGCAATTTGCCACATTGTTGACAGCACTTTTGTTGTTTCCATCAATCTCTTTCTCTGATTACTTTTCAATATTTATTGTTTAAGGTTGTGTTAGGTTTAATTTCTTGGTTCTCTAACTGTCTTTAAATAACTTAATTTTAATTTCTCATGCATAGCTTGAACATGTTTCCATTGCCTGTGAACTTGTGGCTTGTAACTATACTAATTTGATGTCTGCTGTAGGCTCTTTTTTATGCTTTACCTGATTTTGTTCTTTGATGTTCTTCAAAATTAGGAATTTCTAAACCTATTATTGATGTCATCCCATCAGCTGAATTTGTAATTTTTAATTGATTACTATTTTCAGGTCCCTTGCGTCGAGGTGAATGCTCTTATGAAGACTTTAAAAATGAGGCCGTTGATGTTTCCTGTAAGTTCTTTCTTTAATTTTCTTTAATCCATCTTGATGTAGCAATGTAAATGCTTTTAGTAGTTTAGAATGAGCGTTGTTTGTTGCATTTTTTCTCCAGTAGAATGCCTTTCCTTCTTGCGAGTAACTTTGGCTAATCTGTTTGTTAATTTGAAACCTCTGCTGGAATCGTGCTCGGGGCAGTCCTCAAGGGAGTGGGAAGGGGAGGGGGAGTTGTGGTGGCGGGATGGTGGGGCCCTCCTTCCGCTTCTTCCTTTCTATCCCCCTCACCTTTCGTTCCTAAGCACTTTCCTATTTTAAATCCTTTCCTAAAACCTAAAATTCTAATTTTATTCTCATTTCTTATTTTAAAACTCTTTCCTAAAATCCGAAATCTCTTTTTATTCTCCTTGATTATTTTAAAAGCGCCTTTCCTAAAATCTAAAATTTCTTTTTATTCTCCTTACTTATTTTAAAAGCCTTTTAAAAAATGTGAATACCTTTTTATTCTTCTTTCTTATTTGAAAGTTATTCCAAAATCTGAAATCCTTCCTAAAATATGTCAAGTCTCTCTATAAATCTGAGGTGATGTGCTTAGAATTAGGAGTTTTGTTTTTGATATTTGAAATTAGGTTTTAGCATTGATATTTTTTCCTTCGAGGGCTGTATCCAACGTTGAAGTAGTGCTCCGACTATCCCTCGTATGAGGTGGTGATCGTTTCCACGGGTTTGGGCCGTGCTTCAGCTGTAGCTCAACCCCAACGAGATATTTATATATCCTTTCACCCTTCCTGATGCTGTCCACCAGCTTCACAACCCTACAGCAGGCCACTTCACCTCTTCCCCAACAACTGCTGGCCGCTGTCCTTTTTCCAGTCTTCTGTCAGTAAGGCCACAGCTCCCCATACTTCATCCCAACATTCAGCCTCCCTTCCTGAACAACCAATCTTGTTGTCCACCTGCCCAGAGTTCCTTCTAGCACTCAACCGAGCCACCTCTAGCAGTCTACCTTGCCGTCCTGGCCTTTCCTATTGCTGCCCCTCTCGCTGTCTACTTTTCGAAAGTGCTGACGAGCCTTCCCCGCTGCTGCCACACCTTCCCAACTTGCTACCCCACCTTTCAACCTACCTCCCAGCCACCCAACAAACATTCCAGCCACCTTAACCTGCCTCTCTCCTCCAGTTCACCTTCCAACCCTTGCCGGGACAGCCTCCAGATCCAGACACTTTCGAGGTGTTGGCTTGTGTTTTGCGCTTGTTTGTTGTTTATTTCTTAGTTTGAAGAGTCGTCGTTACCGATTTCAAATTCAATAATAATATTTGTGTTTTTTTGTAGTTTGGGCTTTGTCCTCTGATATCATTTATGTTAATTTAATTTTTTTCTTGGCACTTATCTAGTTCCTATAAAAGAAATGTGGCTAGTTTAAGTGTTAACTTTATTAAAATAACACTTAGTTTTGACATATATATACCACCTTCCATATGCATGAAAAAGTGTATTTCACATTTTGAAAGTTAAAATAATAGTATTTTTGATGTGATATGAAAGATTCGGGTAGAGAATTCAAAGTTTAGGTGTTTGATATGTTAATACATAGGAATTTGGTGTTATGTAAGTAAATTCCCCTGAATTTTATAAGCAACAAAACTTTGCAAGATTGAATTTTTTCTAGAATTCTGAAGAAATATTTTTATAATGAAGAATGGTTAAAGTTTATTGCAAGGGATTTTTTGACAATACCAAGTGCTATTAAAATTCTCAGGTATGAGTAATTGACTGCAACAATTCCATCTAATTCTCTTGTTGTCACTGTCAAGAATGTTTGGACATGTTTACTTGGCCAACTTATTTGAATTTTACAACCCAAGCTTTCTCCTAAAAACTTAGAGAGCTTCAACAATTTTACAATGATTAGAAACATGATTAAGGAAACAAAATAGGACATAAATTAATTTTTTTAAGAATCTTGCCAAAGCTGACGATTATTGCAACTGGAACAAAAAATGCTATAAAAAACTGGGAATAGAAAACGACGAACCTTGTTTTTTGATGTTTTCCATAGGCTTGATTCTTTCTTTAGTTTTCCTAGCTGCTACTGCTGTCTTTTATGCAATTCAGCAAACAATAGATTCAGAAACCTTGCATTGATCGGCCTGATTTGATTCCTTGAGGAGCAACCTTACCAGCTTCAAGGAATTAACAATTAGCTCAATGCTTGAAGAACTTCCTCGCACCTGCAATTTCCAACGAAAAGGATAGCGTAATTTGATACGAGAAAATTGAGGGCTGACTTAGATTAGCTTTATTTTTTATTACTTTATTTTTGTTTTCATTTTTTTTGTTTCGTTTACATTTTGATTTGAAATAAAGCATAAATAGTATCTGTTGAGTTTTTGCTCCAATCATAGCAAAGAAATTGAGATGCACAGATCAATGTTCTGTACCATTGTATCTATCTATTTATGATCCTCAGATAGCAAAGAACTTAAAAAACACCAGTTTAGCCTCTATACCAGTAGATCTGTCTTTCTACGACCGTTGTAATGTAATCCGTGTGCTTTACTAGAGGACCGTCGTCCCCTATTTATTTTTCTCTCTTTTTTTAGTTTTATTCATATTTTATTATGTTTATGGGAGATGTATATATATCTCCCTTCTTGGACAAAATAAAGTGATGACTCTTGAGAGATTTTCCAATGTTTTATTTTCTACATTGTATCCTAATGAGGTTAGGGTGTTCTTACCAACATACTCTGTTTTTATTATCTAAGATTAGGGTTTTTACTTTCAACTTTTCTTATTCTCTAAGGTTAGAGCTTCCACTCTCAACAAAATTTTTCTTGTTGAATTCTCCTTGTATTCACTATATCGGTTTTCTTTGACTTCAATAGAAATGACAATAATTAATGCTGAAAATTAGACCAAAAGAGATATCTGAATATTTCGAGTATTTTATCGTTTGAATGGAAAAAAAATATCCAACAAAAATATGTTATTGAAATTGTGAAAGAAGCCAATATGACATAGTGCTAGCGGTATAAAACTCCAACTGAACTAGAACAGAAATTGAACTTTGATGAAAGAATTGATGTAATTTTGGGCTAAGTGGATTGCATTGGTAGAATTTTGGTATACTATTTTGTACCATACTACAACACATACCGCCCATTTCAACATTCTGTATGAGCGGGATCCACTTCACATGATACACTATGAACATAGTACTACATCAGTATTCAGTGTCAACCAATATTTTGAGGAGAGGGACATGCTATTGACAAAACTGAAGGGGCATCTATTGAGAGCTTAACAGATCATGAAGAGGAAAGCGGATGGACGTAGGAGATAGATACAATTTTAACATGGGGACATGATTTACTGGAAGTTGAGGTCATACCGACAGAAGACATTGGCCAAATAGAGGAGCAAGAAACTTTTTCCGCAATATTTTGGACCCTATGAAGGTGAAGACACACATCGAGATAGTAGCTAACCATTTGATGTTACCACCATTATCAACACTACATCCAGTCTTTTCATGTTTTGTAACTAAGGCGTGCTATCGGTGATCATACACTCTCTTCACTGCCTACGACGCTGACAGAGGACACTAAGGTGATTTTGGAACCTGTAGAGATCGAAGGAGTGCGCCGAGTAGTGGCTAGACAAAATGAGGTATTGATTAAGTGGAAAAATCTGCTAGATTATGAAGCAACGCGGGAGTCTTACGAAGTGATCTAAAAACGATTTTCATCGTTTCACCTTGAGGACAAGGTGCTTCTTTGGGAGGGAAGTGTTGATACGCCTGCTCTTGCAAACAGGAGAGCCGCGGGATAACCGATTTCCCAGACGAGCCGCCATTCCAAGGAAGACTTGTCTTGATTAACCATACCCAACTGGACTATCCGACGCAACCAATAGAGACGGAAACCCTAAGCGTTGTTGAGAACCATTTAAGCATTTGGGTGGGGCCCACACAACCGCTAATCCCGTACAAGTGGAGGAGAATTAAGGGGGGGTTTGATAGGAAAGTTTGGATGGATTTTGGAGAGTATTTATTAGGGCTAATTATATAGGGTTTGCTTTATGCTTTAATTTGCTGCAGTTTTCCTTTCTTTTTGTGTTTCTAGCGGCGTCTGGGGTTTGTGGAAAGACGATCTACCTCTCAAATTGTAGATCTTCCCTTGTATCTCGTTTGTTTGCTTTAATATTAATCAAAGTAGCACTATCGTGGATATTGCCACATATCTACTGCAATTTGCTCGCTGATTTTGACTCCGGTTCGTATCACATATGTGCTTGAATTAAAATGAAATCAAACAATCATATTTATCTAATCCATGTTTACATGACTAGGCTTGAGCTCAATAAATTGACTGATCTGATTTTGGCATTTTCTCTTCCAATATAGCAAAGCTTAGTTGATCATATTTTCGGTTATTCCCTTTGAATAGTCTAATAATGATTTGTGGCTCTTCTTAATCTTCCAATGTTACGCTAGGTATCCTGTGAAAGGCTTTTCTAAGTCAATTATTAATCAACAGTGGCTACGTTTATGTTTTTAACTTTCTTCATCGTTCAGTTGCCTTTTGCTGTTCTTTTTAAAATTATTAAAATATTTAGGGGCATTTACATACGTACCACCCTATTCCTATGATTACATATCTAACACCTAAACTTTACTTTTACATTTATAATACCACCATTTTTAATTTTTAAAAAAGTGAAATACTTTTTCATCTATAGATTAGGTGGCATGTTTGTAAAAACTGAAGTTTAGGTGTTAGATAAGTAAATTTATTGGAATTAAGTGGTATGTATGTAAATCTTCCAAATATTTGATACCTATGTTGTTAATTGTTTGTTGTAAGTGAGATATATATATTTTTTCCATTTATCTTATTTCGAAAAGTTGTCAATTGAGTTTTTAGATTATATGGTTTCTTTGATGCAGTTGGCTGGCTCGGTATCTGCCATATTTAATTGTCAAGGTCCTTTGGATGCTCCTTTGTTTGTCGGAAGTGGAATTGTATCTAGAAAAGCTTCTTATTTGGTGTCTACTCCGCACCCATCCTCTGCATTGGAAGCCATGACTAAAAATAAAGAGGCCGGTGCAGTGGCTGCAGTTGACCATATTCCATTTTCACACATATCGGCTAATTTTACTTTCAACCTTGATAACAGTGTATGCTCATGGATTTTAAATATGGAAAATTTACCATTGCCACACAATTCTTATGTATTATATATCTAATGCCCAAAAAATAATATTTACACTTATAATATATTAGTGTCATAAAGCAACACATGAAAATGTTTATTTCATTTTTGAAAAGATAATGATGGTGATACTTTTGTTGTGATATGCATGTAAATATGTATGTTTAAGTGTTAGATATGTAAATACATAAGAATTATGTGGTATGTATGTAAATGCCCCTTTAAATATTTGCATTAAACAACACTGTTTATTCTGAAGCTTTTATGGAAATAATGTTACCGCACTAGGTTGTTGATTTTTATGGTATAAAGGCTACTCTTCTTGATGGTGGAGAAATTCGTGGTGCTGGTATTGCTTGGATTTGCCCCGAGGTTGATGCTTAATGACATTATTTTGACTATAAAACTTTTAAATGTCATTTTACTTCTGTATACCTTACTAATGCTGCTTAATTTTTTTTTTTCGTTTTTTTTAATCACATTTCATATACGTGAAAAACAGTGTTTATACCTGTTGTTCTCCGTTGCTATTTGATTAAATGTTCTGATATCTTCTCTTCGGCAGGGAGCTTCTTGTTATGCAAAATGAATGGCTTTCTTTTGTGATGTAAACCAGTCTTAACAACCACTCTAAATTATATTGCCCTTGCGTCATGCAAATACAAATAATTGCAATTACAATTGTTGATCAGTCATGCATGAAAAATGTGTGGAAGGGAAATCACCTAAGAATTTTTCTTCACTTGAGATCATACATCTCTATCCGCTCTCCTGGAAGTCCACTATTTAACTGAAGTAAGTTTGTGTATCTCGCCTATGTTGTTAAATACTCCTAAAGTAATCAATGGTCTACTCAACCTGATTCGACGTGAAGGTAGCTGAACCTCCCCGAACGGTGGTTGCTTTGGTGGTAAAGTATTGATTGTGATATCTTGAAATACTTTGTCGTGTTTGGAGCTGGTGTCTCAGTCCTATCATCCTCTGTCATCACCAAAACTAATCCCATCGATGCTGTTCTGTTGGCAAGGACACCTGTGATCTCGGGCTTCGTCGAAGGGAGATGGACGATGTGCTTCCCCTTCTTGGTGTAGGAGTAGATGTTTTTGAATCTGTCGTATTGAGTTTTATCATTAATTGTCACGGTTTCCCCAACAACAGGTGGCAGACATCTATGAGTATCATGTCACTCCACACCTGATTCTACAACCGGATCCCGATCTAAAACTCCTCTAGGCATCTCCAATCAATGCTGACCATGTTCTCCTTCTTTAGCCATGTTAGAGAATGTGGTTGGGAGTGCCTTTAAGTTTTGAGGCCCAACTTCTCTACCATCTACGTAGATGCCACATTCTTACTGCTCGCTCCATCGATAATGAGACTGCATGCCTTCTTGTCACGGTGCTACTGATTTAGAATATATCTTGACGAAGTCACTGGGAATCCCTCGTGTACTCGGTTTGTAGGATCCGTCAAACCACAAACACCTCTCCATCTCGTGGAAGAAGATACACCTTTACCTTGTTCCTTAGCTGTCTCCTCGTTGCTAATCTCCTCCACGATGCCCTACTCGACAAAAGATACGACTTGGCTCATCGAACAACTGGAGGAGATGCGCCCAAATTCATGGCTTCTAAAGCATAATTGGGGTTGGAATTATAGTAGGTGTGCTTCTTTTCTCGAGGTTCTTCTCATTTGGAGTGGTTCTGTCCTTGTTTGAACAAATTTTATCAACTCCCTGAGGTGTACTCCTATTGGAATCTCTAATTGTGGATGACTGCTTGATTGGTGGTGGTTGTCTGCTCTGTTTTTGCTGCCTTTCCACTTCAACGCTAAGGTCTGGACATCTTTAAGTAACCAATAGGGCGGTAGTTGTACCACACTGCCAATAACAAACTTCAAACCTCCCAGATTATGGGCTATCATATGCTCCTCTGGTTTGATCAACTCGCACTTCATCTGCAATTGGTGAAACTGAGCCGTGAGCTCTTCCACCGGTAGATCTCACTGTTGTAGGTGATGGAGCCTTAGAAACATATCCTGATGGTAGTGGGGTGACAGATATTTCCTTTGCATTTCCTTTCTCATATTCTCCCACTTATTGATCTTGTCACGGTTTTCTCTCTTTCTCTGCCTCTATAGGTTTACCCGCCACAAGGAGGCACTTTTCTTCAACTTGATGGCCGTTAATTTTACCTGTTTATCCTCTGACACGTCTTTGTACTCGAAATTTTGCTCAACCGATTGAGAAAGTCGTTTGGATCCATTCCTCCATCGAACTCTGGTAAATCCACTTTTATTCTGAAGCCCCCGTGTCTTCCATGTGGGCCGTCTTTTCTCGGCCTCCTGGAATACTAGATTTCAAAGCATTGTGGCATTTCTTATTCATCACTGAAATCTGCCATATTGAAAAGGGTTGAAGTTCTCTTCCCTTTTGCCTCTTCAACTTTCCCTATCACCATCAAGGGTATGCCCCACTTGAGTTTTATCCTCAATGTCTGCAACCTTCCATTGAAGTTGACGGATCTCTCGCTGTACTTCTGCTTGAGTAGGTTCGGGCTTGTATCTCCTTAGTGACATGACCAGAGTTTAGAGTTGAGAGGTGAAAGAGAATGCAAAAAATTGATTTTAAGTTGTTGATTTTGAAAATTAGTAGGAGGAAATTTGGGTTATGGTTTGGGGATATTAAAGAAATTTTTGGTGGAAGGGTAAGGTTGATGCTATGAAACCCTATTATAGAAATAGTATTAAGCTAGCTCTGATACAAAATGATATCAGAATTAATTCAAACCATAATAGATTTGAAATTATTATTGCTTAAATTTTAAAGATTACAATAAATACTCATCAAAACAGGAAATAAATGATGAACAAATACAAACAATACCGTAGGGTGATGACGAGGGTGGCAGCTGGCGGTTGGGCTGCAGGGGGAAGGGCTGGTTGGGGCTTGCGGTAGTAAAGGGCTGTGTTGGAGGGAGTTACGATAGCTATGGGATGGACTAGATGATGCTACGATACAGTGAGGGATGGTTGAATAGTAACTTGTAGTCTGCTAGTTGCAGCGAACATGAGGGAGTGGGCTGGCGGTAGTTCTATGGGAAGGGGGAACAAGAAGGATTAGGTGTAGGTAAGGCACAACAGCTAGGAGTGGACCTGGGCGTGGCTATTAGGAGCAGAGGAAGTACTGGTAAGGTAGCAGCGACAGCGAGGAGGTGTTGGCAGCTGGAAACAGAGAAGGGGAGTTGGGGAAGATATATGTCTCTCAGGATCGAGTTACAGCCGGAGCACCCCTCAAAACTTTTGGAGAAGATAATCACCTTGGACAAGTTACAATCGGAGAACCTCCTCAGTTTAGTATACAACTCTATAAGTGAAAACAACCGCCGACGACAAGCTGAAAATAATTTTGAAATTAGAAAGAAAAAAACTAAACCCTAAGACAACAAACACATATATGTATAATAGATATGATACCAGAGGAAACCCAAATCACAATAGAAATAGAATTATTATTGCTGAATTTCAGGAATTACAAACGACAACATTGTAATAAAAAAGCACGATCCAAACATAGAGCTAGGGCGTGGATCGGGGTGCTGGTGTTGCGGTTGTATGTGGGGTGGAGGGTGATGGCAGCACAGCAGGAAGGTTTAGGAGAGGAAGGTTTAGGAGGGGTTGTACAGGTTCAGACTGCAGTGGGGAAGAAATGGGAGAGGGCTGTGGTTGGGCTATATGCGGTTGGATTGGAGTGGGTGAAGGAAAGAATGAAGGGCTGCTGTTGGGCTGTTGGAGTTGCGCTGTAGTGGGGAAGGAATTGGGGAATGGGCTGCTGTTGGGCTGTTGGAGTTGGGCTGTAGCAGGGAAGGAAATGGGGAAGGGCTGCTGTGGGGAGGTTGGCTATGGGGAGGAAGACAGGACCACGGGAAGGTGCGGTGGGACAGCTGTGAGGGGAGTGACAACTATGGGACAGCTGGCTATGGGGAGGTGGGGATGTTGCGGGTTGGACAGGAGGGAGAGCGGGCTGGAGGCGGTAGCTGGGAGTGAGAGACGGCCAGCTAGGATTCCGGCGAGACATAAACCTGCAGATGGAACCTGTAGGTATTTCGTCTCGAAATTGCTGCCAGATGTGCTGAGGGGATCCCGAGCTGGTTGGACGGGATGCAGGGCAAGAAGCAAGCAGGGGGAGGGTGGAAGCGGGCAATGGAAGGATACAATCACCACCGGAGGGAGAGTGATACAGTCGGAGCACCACCCCAACCGTCGGATACAACCCTCGTGGGGAAAACAAGACACCGACGGCCGTCCTCATAAACAAAAATCAGATAATAACATAGGTTGAAAATCTAGATTGCAAGCACATTTATAAATAGAAGATATATAGGCGGGATACGAAAATAGAAAGGGGGTGAAATTTCCCGCCTAATGAAAAGAGGAAGGAGGGGGCCGATTTAGCCCCCTCTCTCCACTAAACCGGTTTGGGCCAAACCGGTTTAGGTTTTGGAGGAAAATCCTCGTGTCAAGATATATAGGCAGGAAAACATAAAAGGAAGGGGGAATAATTCTTGCCCAATGAGAGAGGGAGGAGGGGGCCGGTCCAGCCTCCTGCTGGATCAAGAGCCTTCTCTTGCTGAATCCAATGGCCAATTCAGTTTGGCCAGACCTCCCCTAAGTCCCCCGCGTCAGTTGTGCAATGCTTTTTTTTGTTTCGCCTTTTCCCATAATTGTTTGGTCCGATATGGGGAAGAATTTTCATCAGGATTTGGTGAGGAAACAAATCGCAAGTGAGTGTGCACTATGGCTTAGGAGATTAAAGGAGAGGTTGGTCCTCCAATATTATGTATTTGGTCCTGATGTGGTTTACTGATCATTAAAATCATAAACCCTATAAATTTTCTTAGCTACAAATAATTTTATTTTTTCTGATAGAATTGTACAATGTAGAACAATATGAAAGCATGATGCTAGACTGCAACTTCTTTGGAATAACTTGGTTACCAATCTGGAAGACTAATGAGTTTTCTGGCATAAATTTTCTTTTTAAATTATGGCGATCTTTCATTAATATGAAAAATTTTCTTATTGTGATTGCTTGTATATGTAACTTAACTTTTATTGCTTGAAATATTTTGAGGATGCATATAATCATCTGTGTTTCCTTGCATCACTTGAATTTCTAAGTACGTTGGTTTCTTTAGAAGCTGTCTTAGCATTATTAATGCAATCTTTTAGCAAAACATGTTCTTCATTGAGACAACATAATCATATGTATTTTTATTCCTAATGGAAGGAATTTTTGCAGGTTATCCTATTAATACTTAACATACATGATATAGTTAGGATTGAAAACTTTAATAGAAATACTTTTTTAATGAAGTTCTATCTTTGTCGCTGTAACTTTTCACAACTTATTCCCTTTAGTTCCTTCTAGGGGGAGTTGGATGATACTGCAATGGATTTCAACTTTTCTGGAAAATTTTTGTTTGACAAAGTATTACAGCGATATTTGGCGCAAGATGTTCGATTATTGTCTTTCAAAATTGGGGAGGTCAACGGGGAGACCAAGTTGTCTGGGTCCATTTTGAAACCGTGAGTTTTTGAATTTTGTTGGAACTGGTTTGATATAGAACTGCAATAGTTTTCAGCCAAAACTGTAATTTTTTAGTAAATTATGAATCTTTTCAGGAAATTTGATATAAAGTGGGTTGCACCTGAAGCTGAAGATTCATTCGCTGATGCATGCGGAGAAATTTTAATTTCTCATGAGTTTATCACTGTCATCTCATCGGCTGTTTCCTTTGACTTAAATGCTAAAATTCAAACTCGTTATCTTGATAAAGAAAATTTTGACCTTCGGCGAACTATGGCCGCTCTTATTATGGAGGCAATAGATCTGGATTTACGCATGCGTGGATTTGAGTTAGTTAGTTTTATTTCAACTCCTTTTGATGCACCGAGACCGCTTCATTTCAGAGCTACTGGAAAGCTCAAATTTCAAGGAAAAGTCGTGAGGCCATCCCTTCCATTGGTTGACAGCGACAAACCGAGGCTTTTTGGAGAGATTTCCCTGTCTGGAATCAAGATTAACCAACTTATGTTGGCACCTCAGTTGGCTGGCTCTCTCTCTGTATCACATGATGCTATAAAGGTTTAAATATTATGTAATTTTTTTTTTCTATTTTTATTGACCGAATAACATGAGTTATTCAAATGGTATATTGGCAGATTTGTTATATTTTAGACTTTCTGTGAGGCTCTCTACTGTGGTGAAGCTGAGGGTTTCTTCCGCCAATGATTATGCGTGTGAAGGATCTCTTTAAGTAAAGAAATTGGGATATTTTTTGATATATTTCATATTTTTTAAAGAGTGGGATAGAAAGGTTTCTTACTTTTTATTTCTTTATTTATTTTAAACCAATATTGGGAATGCTAATTACAAGGAAATGTAAGTTTTAACTTATCAAGCTAATGAATTTTGGAGGAATGGATGTGATTGTAAAGTTTAACATTTAGTAGATTCCTAGATTTCTGTCCCTTATTCTAGCCCACCTTTGAGTTTCTTTTGAAAGGCCGGTAAATCTTGTTTGAAATTTTGCATCAGCTTGTTGCTTTCCTGTTTGAAGATGTAGATTGACCTTTTTAGGACGTCCATGCTCCTCTGGATAGTATTACAACACTTTTCATCATCAAGCTTAAAAAAGATTAAATTTTCTCTGTTAATTAAAAAATTTGATGTTTACAAGTTAAATATGAATTAGTTGAGCCTTGAAACTCTTATCCTCGGTAATTACGAGTGAATGAAAAGCTCTTTCTTCTTTATGCAGGTAAATTATAAGGAAGTTTCCTAGTTTTTGAATATACGCTCTGGGAAATCATTTTGTTTTGTTGTTGTACTTCTGAAACACGCTATTTATGCATTTAATCCTTTTCCTTGACTGATGGTTAATGGTTACAGTTGGATGCAATGGGTAGAGCCGATGAGAATTTGTCAGTGGAGGTCATTGGACCATTAAGTCAGCGAACTAATGACACCTCATATAGCAATAAATCATTATCTATTTCCCTTCAAAAAGGACAACTAAAAGCTAATATTTGTTACCAACCTCAACATTCTGCTAATTTGGAGGTGCCTCAATGTTTCTTTTCTCGCTTCTTAGTGAAATTCATGTCTGATTCATTATTCTTTTAAATTTTAGTTATAGTTGGTACATTGTTGTATTTAATCGTATAATATTATTTAAAATGTCTTTTGGATAGATAAAAAACTTACCGCTTGATGAATTGGAGCTTGCATCTCTTCGCGGATCTATCCAGAGGGTGAGATTTTTACTCCCAGTATTGTCTGATTTTCACTTATGTAAATATGTCAAATTTTTATCACTATGCTTTAATATTGAAATTTGAATTCAGGAACAATGTAATATGATTTACTAACTATTATATCTATAGTGCCAAATTTCCTCCTGATTAGATCTTCTCATCATATGGATGTATATCTTTTTAAAATGCAAATTTTTGGATAATCCATTTTGTGTTCTATAAGAACATTTCAGATATCTTGTATTGATTGGCTTTGAGAGACTTGTAATTCTAGATATCAACATTATTAGTGCCTTTTGGTAGGGAGAGGGGAGGGCTTTGACATCTCATAACAATAGGAAAATAAAGGAAAGAGGCAGGGTTAAAGAGGAGGAGAGGATGAAGAGGTTTTTAAATTACTTACGAAAGGGTGATTTTTTGCCGCTTCAAGAAGGTGTTGCTGATTTTAGTTTCATCAAAAGAAGCTTTTAACCATATCATGAGAAGTTCTAATATGGAATCTTGCAAGAAAGAACGGAAGCGAGTAATAGTAGATGTAAAATTTTTCTATTTATGGTCTACCTTCATCGTTGCAACAGGTGACTGTATTCTCTCTTAGGCATTGAGATAGATTATTTTTTACTTTTATCTTTAATTTGATATAATTGTAATGTCCGCATTTACCTTTTCTGAAACTCAATGGATTATTTGATCTCTATATTGTTGTAGACGTTGGTAGATTTTTCCTATCATACAAATTTGTGTGCTATTGGTGTGAGCTCCGAAAATTTGAAATACACCGGACTCTCTTTGAAAGTTTAATGTGTTAAGTTTCGGGTAAATATTTTGAAAGACAAATGAGATAGTAGATAACACTACTCAGAGATATCACACTCATTTTGCGAGGACATTAAGATATGTGGTTCGAGGTTTTCTGTAGATACAATCCCCTATGATTAATTATCGATCTCAATAATGAGAGAGCAGTTTCAATTAAAGTTAGTCATTAGGCACTAAATATTAAAACTTAACGTATAATAACATTAAGTTTAAGATTTGAAATTATGAAATTATTACCTTATTTTAAAAGCGGATGGTGGAGAAAACGATGATGTACCCGATCAAGTTTCTTGGTTTCGTCATCCTAGTTGTCATAGTCTTGGGTATACTTAGTTGGCGGAGGTAGTCGACCTAACTTGACAAAAGGAACCTTGTCAGCTGATGCGGCCTTAACTTAAGTCCAAGTGCACTTGCACTTTGGGGCTTTACGTGAGTGTACGTATCTCACTCTTATAACATAGGACTTTTGAGTCCAGATTATCCAACCCACTGGGAAGGAGGTGTTTAAGTCTAGGAAAAGTTATAGTCTACTAAATTCCCTCTTAGATTGGAATTAAATTAGTTTGAAGTTGTGCTAACTAGTCCTACTGAATTACAAACTACTCTTAAAGGTTTACTCCTACTGAAATTCTACTTAATATATTTGGATTGGTGACAATCAAGTTGTAAAGCTACTTTCGCTTGTAATGATTTAAGTGGAGTGAAGGAATTGAAAAATTGTAAATTGAAAATGAGGCTAGTGACAATTAGGAGCAACTCTCTTCTTTACTCTCTTGAGCGCATAAAGAAGTTTGGTTAAACTTGTTTATTCCTTAAACCTCAGTTTGAACCTAACAAAGATTATTTTCCTAAAATTTGTATTTTCCTATAGTGTATTCGCTCCATATCCTATAGTTCAATATGACTAACCTAGTTGTTCTTCTATAGCTCTCCCGAATCATTATGAGTCACAACACATTTTAACTAATCATTTGCCCAGAATGAAAAGTAAATGAAGAATTGAAGGTTATTCATCATATTAACAATTTTAAAAATAATTTTAAAAACATTCCTTCAATCCTACACTACCTACTTAATCACCACAAGGGAAAAGTAAAAAATTCTACTCAGAAAGCATTGAGAAAACACTACAAAACATCTTTGAAAACAATCAAATCCATTATAAAATTGTGTTTACAGAAATATCAATACAAGAGTACACAACACTTAGCTTTTCCACTCCTTATAAAACTTTGAGAATGTTCCTCCAAGGATTTCCTTCTCCCTTGCTGCTAATTTGAACACTCTCCTTACAATTCAACTCAAATTCCTCACCAATCACTCAAGAAATCCTATCCTATATTCTCCTATAACAAACCCTACTTCCCCTTCACTAAAAGACTGACCAAAGACCACCTCTTCTTCACTAAAGAGCTCCTTTATCGGGGTGAATAACCCCCCACATCATGTAGAGAAACTGCTGAAAACTGCCCAGGCAGTTTCTAGCGCTTAGGCACGACGGGGCTGGCGCCTAAGCGCAGGGCTCTCTGTCCGCCAGTTTTGGTAGGGGCGCCTGGGCGCTAAAAAATTTGGCGCCAAGACACTGGGGTAGTGGCGCCTCAGCGCCCACTAAGCACCAGCCTCTCAGGTTCCCAGCTTGGGACTGGCGCCTAGGCCTCCAAGCAGTCTCGCGCCAAGGTGCTGGTCTCCTATGTCCTCCATACCTCCAATTCACCTCCACTCTGCTCCATTTATTCTCCACTTTGCTCCACTTCTAATACCTGTTGTAGCTGCAAGAAAAATATAAAAATACATTTCTTTAAAGTGTAATTTCATCCATAAATATATTCAAAACATAAAGGAAGTTAAACATGCTTTTCTACACATCATCAACAACCATGGGTTGCATTGTCCAAAGAAACCTTATAGGCTTGGAGTGAATATTTGCAGATTTTAGCTTACAGAAGGCTTTGTGCACTATCAAATATACCTTATGATTCATCAATTAAAAAGACAAAATGCTATTAGGGAACATACGGGTTATGACCGTGATTGTAATATAATTGTTACATTTGGAGGCAAACCAACTAGTCATAGGGCTCTGGTCATAACTTCTTTTTGTGGTGCCATTTGATTGCCGAACACCAGGCTACGTCATTATTGACAGGAGATTGTTTTGAGTATGAATTTAGTAGTAAACTTAATATGATTTTCGCTCTTTGTGAGCTTGAGTCAACATTAAATTTGTCCACCTCGACAAACGATTTCGGAGTGAATAGATTTTGTTTTAAGCATTAGATTTATTTCTTTTAAATATTTTACATTTTACAATGTTAATTTTAATTTTATAAATGAACCCCTCATGTTAAAATGTGCAGTAAATTTGCAAATCATCGGGGTATTTATTACTCAAAACATCATTAGGAGCATTAGTCTTGTAGATTCCTGTACTCACGAAGAAGAGGATTGTACTGGCTCGATGGGGGTTCAATCTTGTCAACTCTAGGCTCTATAGGGAAGATGATTGGATCGACCAAAATATGGGACTTACGACCTCACCTTATAGGCAAGGCGGCCTGTTGCCCGTATAACATTCTCGGACGTTCAAGTTTAATTATATAGGACACTGTCAAAGCACATGCTGGTGATTGAATTTGTTGATTTAAGCTGATTTTTAGAAAATTTGCTAGCCTTTTAAGAAGAATTATGGAACAACTTAAACTTATATTTAAACCACGCAATATTCTTTGACACATAAGTTTGAAAACTTAGAATTAGCACATGTGAGACTTCTATGTTTATTAATTTGGACTGACTTTTAGGAGATTTTATTATTATTAGCACGGGTGTGTTTTCGGTAAAATTTGTGTGAATATTTTTACTTTAAGTTTTTAGTTTCCCATTATGTCCGTTCGTGTAATTGGGGTTGCAGATCCGGTGGGAAATGTGCAAAATTTTCCTAAAGCCTCATAGTGAAACATCTTTTATTCGCTTGTGTGGTTGGGTTGCAGATCTATTGGCGATCATGCAATTGTGTAGTTGGGTTGCAAATCAGGTGGCGTAATATGTATAAAGCTTCAAATATTGCCTTCTGTCCGCTTCTAGAAGTGTTACTGGTCCGGTGGCATTATATGTGAGCGACATTCAAACAAAGTTTTGACAGCCTCTCGGTATGATCAATCCTTAAGAGGCTACCTTGGGAGGCTGATTCCAATTACTACACCTAACAAGATGTACGTAGTTGGTGTCGTTAGACACCACTATCAAAATTTAAATTTACTCCCCACACCTAACAAGATTTACGCAGGCCTTCAATGCATGCAAAAAGAATACACCAAGATTTTTCCGTTGAATTGGAACAACTCGAACGAGTACTTAATTTGCATTTTTATTGTCTATTCTTACCAATTTGTTCGGTCGTCATTAGTCTGAATTTTGGCAGCCTCCCGAAATCATCCTTACTTGGGGGCTACCTTGGGGGTTAGGTCTGACTACCACATCTAACAAGATGTGCATGGCTGGTGTTGTAGGACATCACAACCAAAATTTAAATTTTCCACGCAACGATAAAATTTCCTCGATGGGTTGTAATAACCTGAAAAGTACTTTTAGCAGGATTTCCCTGCCACATTGGAACAAAGGACACAAATACTTAAAAGCATAATTTTTACCGCCAGATTGAAACAACCCGAACGAGTACTTAATTGTACTGTTTTGAAAACCTGACTAGGCCAGCTGGTCGGATCGGTCCAATCGGGAAGCGGGCCTTGTACCGGTACTGAAGCAAGTACAAGCTAGATTTGCAGTGAACCGGTGTTGAACCGCACAAAATGCCGGTCCATCCTAAAAACTGTTCTCGGCTTAAAACAACTGGCCAGTTTCTCGTCAGCGATCGCTTCGCTGTTCGTCGACGATGCGGCGAAGCGATCTCTTCGCTATCTATCAGCGGCTTGAAATGGTTTGTTCTGGTTCTTCTGAATTTTCTTTCGCCATGTGAGAACGCTTTTCGAGGTCATTTATGAGATCTGTACAAAGGGGATGTATGAGAGCAATTTGTACAAGGTCTCATCATGGTTCCAATGGAGAAGAAAGACATTGGAGACCAAGCCAAAGAGGGTAAAACACGGAGTTTTGAGGAAGAAGATTATTACACTGCAGACAAAGAGTTCCTCAACATCCACTTGCCAGATTTAGCGATG